CAGGTGCTCCTGATTACCCTAAACAGCCACTCACAGAACCAATAGCCGAACTAGAACCACCCACAAGACACAAGATGACCTCAGGGGTCATCACAATACACTAAAGTTACCGTAGATAAAAATAAACAAATCAGCAGATTCTAAGGGGATTACTTTTCTCTGATTTGTTTATTTATTTGGAATGACCATTTTCTGAATTATTGGTTCTGTGTTCTCACTGCAGTCAGGAACAAACACATATTGTTATTTAACTAATCAGAGAAGTGACATTTATGGTGGCAAAATGTGGATGAAATATACAAAATTCTATGTAATTACCTAACCTTTGAGAAACAGCCGCGATTGTTTCTTGACGAAAAGAAGTGGAATCAATTGTTAGAGGGTCAATACCAGGTTCAGACAAAAAACAGTGACGCACATTTTCTCCATAAACATTTATTTTCAAGTAATTTAAGAAAAAATAGATTTTTTTTTAACATATTTTTTTCTTTATGTGACTTTTTATACAGTACTTTCTGTGCATTTAGAAAAAAAGTCAACACGACAGTTAATGAGGCAGCAACGACAAGTCAGAGAACCAGCAGGGTGAAACACAAAGGAACCCAGAGAGGACCAAACCAAACACCAAAACTACCAAGTCACACTGGACCAGAACAGCTCTAAACTCAAGTTAATCTAAACTGGATTAGTGTTGATCTAAAGTAGATCAGAGTGGATCTAAAGTGGACTAGACCATGCCTAAAACAGATGTAAACAGTCTAAACAAGCTCAGAACCTGATGAGGCCAGAGCTGACTGGATCAAACTGAGTAAGACTAAATCTACACCAGATGAACCAAATGAGGGTGGATCAACCTGTACGGACCCTAAACTTTATCTGCAAACAAGACCTGACGTAAACTGAACCAGGCCGGATCTAAACTAGATCAGACCAACACCAAACCGGAACAAACTAGAGGCGACTGGATCCAAAAATGTATCAAACTGGTTCAGGCTAAATCTAAACAGGATCAAACTGGATTAGATCAACTCGAATCTGGATCGAACTAGATCGGACCATATCTAAACTGGACAAAAACAGGGTCAGACTGGATTTAAACCAGACCAGACCAACTCTGAAACAGATCAGAACAGAGTTGACCAGATAAAAACTGAACTTGACCTATACTGGATCAAACTGGATTAGACCAAAGCAAAATTGGATCATAGCGGAATAGACAACATCTAAACTGGATCAGAGCGGTTCTACAGTGCACTAAAGCTGACGCAAACTGGATCAGAGCGCATCTAAACCAGACCAGAGCGTCTCTGAACTGGACCGGACTCTGAACTAACACAGTAAAACCAACCGTGCAGAAAAGTGCTTTTCGACAGGAGGAGGCGCTAAAGGCGATCAAATAAAATGCGATCACCTGGTTTGATCTCAGGTTCTATAAAAGAAAAGTGCAAATAAAAGCCGAAGGTGAGCATGGAGACAGCAGAGCAGTTTGTTCTGAGTTTAACATGAACACAAACACTCCTCTCAGCTGATTTACATTCAGAGAGTTTCCACAGACAGACGGGTGGAGGGTTGCAGTTAGCTAACAGTAATGTATTCTGAACTTGAACACGTGCGAGTGCAGAACTTTGGCAACACGTCAGGCTGAAGGTCGAGTGGCGGCTGGAAAATACGGTAGACATCTTGTCAATGATGTCACAGTGAGGACTGGGGTAGGGGGCGGAGCCAGGTGGGGTCACATAATATGTTTCTGGATGCCTGGGGTGAACTCCTTGGCGTTGGGGTTCAGACTGCTGTTCACCTGGAGAAAAGAAGAAGAAGAATGAAAGACTGACCTCAGTGGCTCTTTCAGCCTTTCTGTTTCCAATGTAGCATCCAGCAGCTTCAACTACGCAATTAGGTCAGATGAAAACAAACTGTAGTTACTGCACGTAAATCCAATAACTAGGCCAGATCTACCCCAGATCAGACGAACTCTAAACCCGGATCGTACCGGAGCTGGTTGAGACCAACACTGAACTTGATCAAACCAACTCTAAACATGATCACACCAACTCCAAAACTGATAAGACCAAATCTAAAGCTGATCCAAACAGAGCTAACTGGATCAATCTGGATCAAAACTAAATCCAAACTAAATGAGATCAGCTCTTAATTAGTACAGAACAGGGTTAACAGATGAACCAGATCAGGCTGGATCAAACTGTACCTGCACAGAACCTAAACTTGATCCAAGTGGATCTTAAGTTTATTAGATCTGATGTGAACTGAATCAGGCCGGATCTAAACGAGGTCAAACTAACTCTAAACCAGATCAGATTCATTCTAAACTGAATCAACCAACTCTTAACCGGATCAAAGAAAAGCTAAAGGGATCAAACTGGTTGGTACAAGACCAAAGCCAGATCAGACCAACTCTAAACTGGATCAGACCAATTCTAAACCAGATCCTACCAGAACTCACTAGACTAAACTGGATCAAACCAACTCTAAGCCGAATCAGACTAATTCTAAACCAGATCAGAGTGGATTTAACGTGGACTAGACCATGCCTAAAAACAGATTTAAACTAGGTGTAAACCAGATTAGACCAAAACTAAAGCTAATCAAAACAAAGCTAAGGAGATCAAATCTGAATCCAAACTGGATCACACCAGCTCTATGCTGGTTTTAAACTGGGTTACACTGGTTTAGACCATATCTTAAGTGGATCAAACCATATGAACCATATCAGGCTGGATACAATTGTACTTGTACTGAACCTAAACCTGATCCAAGTGGACTAGGCCTGATGTTATCAACTCTAAGCCAGATCAGATCAACTCTAAACTGGATCAGAGTGGATCCTAAGTGGATTAGACCTGACGTTAACTGGATCAGGTCAGATCTAAGCCAAATCGGAACAACTGTAATCCAGATCAAACCAGATCTTAACCAGATCAACCAACTTTAAATTGGATCAAACCAACTCTAAACCAGATCAGATCAACTCTAAACTGGATCAGAGAGGATCTTAAGAGGACTAGACCTGATGTTAACTGGATCAGGCCATATCTAGACCAGATCAGACTGGATCTAAGGTGGACCATTCCTAAAAAAGACTGGATCAGACCAGGTACATTCATCTGCTCAGCTGGAACTCACCACAACATCGAAGTCAGCGTCGGCGTGGACGTCTGCATCCAGGACCAGGAGGCTGATCTGCTCCTGCAGCTGGCTGATGGTCTGAGAGGGGAGGTCTCTAGACGGGATGAACCATTCCCACTGCTCCTCCTCCTCCAGCATCTCCTGGAAACAGCGCTCGATGAACTCCTCCTCCCACAGCTCCTCCTCCACCTGCAGCACAAGAACACACACCAGCAGTTTACAGACCCAACCACACGACATTTTCTCATTTGTCTAAACTTTGCTATTTTGTCATTCAAAATTTTTTCATTGTGTCATTTTAAGTCTTGTGTCGTTTTGTGTCTTGGTTGGTCATCCTTTGTCCCCTGTTGTTGAGTTGTCTCATTTATGTTGCTTTGAGTCTCATTTGTGTTGTTTTGCATCTTGATCAATTTGTATAGTGTCTTGTTTTGTCATTTTGTGTCTCGTTTGGGTAGTTTTGTGTTCTATTTGACTCGTTTTGTGTTTTATTTAGGCTGCTTCTCATTCTTGTTGCTTTGTCTCTCAATGTGTCATTTTCTCATTTCTATCATTTTGTGTGTTATTTTATTTTGTCACTGTATTTTTTTCCTTCTTGTTTTCAACTATTTTTCAAAATTCTTGTTTAAGACAGCTGCAGCTAACATTTCTTTCCATCGTGGAATATTTTTTGGGATGAATCGATGAGCTTTTCATCTCGAAGTTTTTGAATGTCTTGTTCTGTCCAAAACTCAAAGACATTCATTTCATAGGAGAGACAAAAATAAAAGAACTGAAAACAATAGCAACGAAGAAGCTGCAATCACAGAACTGACTGTTTTAATTGTAAAAACTACTCAACTGATTAATCAATTATCAAAATAGCCGGAGATAAGTTTAACTGTTGAAAAGGAGTTGCTGGGCGCCCCTATAGCTCACCTAACTGAGCAGGTGACCCATGAACAGGGCTGTAGTCCCCGACATCATGGGTTTGACTCCCACTCACGAGCCTTTGCTGCAGGTCTCTCCTCTTTTTCCTGCCTATCGCTATGGCTCTAAATAAAGGCAAAAAGCCCAACAAAAACATATTTAACAAAGAAAAGGAATTGCTGAATCGATTAGTTGTTGCAGTGTTATTATTTTATTCAGTTTATTGTTTAATGTTGGTCTTTCATGTATTTCTTCACTAAAACACTGATTTACTCACTCAGCGTGTTTCTGCAAAAGTGAAAATATTTTTATGGAAACTCCCCACAGGACACAAAGACAACCACCCACTTATTTCACTGTTGACCAACTCCAGCACTGTCAGCTGATTACACAATCAGGTCACGACTTGACCTGGATTCCAGCTTAAGAAGCCTGTTTGTTGAAACAGACCTCAGCTTTCTGGGTGGAACTTCTCATTACACCAAACACCAGATTTCCACCTATAAAAGTTTGCTCTTATGTGTTTGTTTACATCAACCGTACTTTTAAAGTAACTGCACAGGTTCTTGATGTAATTTCTCTTTTACCTGCAATCAAAAAGAGCAGGTTTCCACTTTGAAAATTCTGTTTTTCTGTGTTTTTGGAAACAAACTCCCTCTGCTCTTAACACAACAGTTTGTGGTGTCATTTCTCTACAGTCTGAGCATGAAATATCAGATTTCCACCTTAAAAGTTGGCCAAGTCTGTTAGTATATACTGACTTCATTTTCCAAAAAATGTGACTTCTCTTTCATCTACAGCTTCAACACCAGATTTTCATCTTAGAGAGTCAGTTGTTTTAGTGCTTGCAGACACTAACTTAAAGACAGCTCAGGTTTGAGGCACAATTTTATTTTAATGAGTGCATGAAACTGATTTTTTTTTTGTGGGTTTGGATACTAATTGTCCCTGATTTGCAGGAAATAAGGCTCGCAGATTCAGTATCTTCTTTTAAATCACTTCTTATAGACTCGCATTTGAGTGATGTTCTCTTTTATTTCTCTTTTAGATTTTCGCCCGTTTCTTTTCCCTTCTTATATCAGTACTGCCTGCTGCCCTGCTCTTTTTTTTAAATTTATGTTTATCTTCAGCTTTTATCCTAATTCCCCTCTGTGATGTCGTCTTTCCAATCAGTTTTACTAGTTTTATTATAATACACCTTCAGTAGTGACCCAACTTGTTCTTTTTCATTTTTATTGTGTGTATTTTTATATTTTGAGTGTTTGCCTGCACTTTTTATACGTGTTGTTTACCTGTGTTGCCTTGTCTCTGTGTGCTGTATTTCTTTGTTATGTAAAAGCACTTTGTTCTTAAAAAGTGCTATACAAATAAAATGTATTATTATATTTATATATTGCAAAACCAGTTTTTAGGTGTCAACAGGCTGCTCCTCACCTGTTTCAGTCATCACCTGTTTCAGTCATCACCTGTTTCGGTCCTCACCTGTCTGTTTCGGTCCTCACCTGTCTGTTAAACTCCTCCTCGTTCTCCATCCACATGTACTCTGCGAACGGGTTGTCCTCATTGTTGAACTGGTTGCTCAGAATCACCTCGTTGCTGATCGTCATGTTCGGAGCGGCGTTGCTGATGCTCGGGTCTTTCATGTCCCTGCTGTCCGGCGGACGGGCGGGCGGACGGACCGATGATACCCTGCGTAGGGCAAACAGGAGGAATGTGACGGTGAGCCTCGCAGCGCTGTGGCTAGCTGTGATGGCCGCTGTCTGACAGACAACAATAGCAGCGGGCTAACGACGTTCTTACAGCGAACGCGGAAAAAACATCGAATCACAGCGACACAAAACGCCTCCACGAACACTCAGCGACGGCACAGTGACGTGACAAAGGTACACGCAGTGTTTTTGTGGTGGAAATACCTGATTTGTTTGACGGTAAAGGTGTCAAACGAAGAACTCTGAGGAACTCCGGAGAACTGTAATGGCCGCGCTGCCTCTGTTTGTTTACATCTGCAGCGTCACTCTGACCTCGCTCCTGATTAGACGAGCCGCTGCGCTGCCTTCACGGACCACAGGGTCCCGTTAAAACCGATGGGAGCGGAGCGTCGGAAAGTACGCTTCCTTCTCATTTCACAAATACACTACTCACGTTTGGGATATTGTTATTTACATGAGTGCTTTTCCTATTTGGTCTGAATTTTAAAGAAATAAGTAAAAGTTCCCTTTGAATTTGCTAACAATGAATGAGAAGAAACACCATTTTCATTAGTTCAATATTTATTACCCCCAAAATTTAAACAATAACAAGGATAGCCCCAAATAACAAAAATTGACAATGACAGTAGTGGCTGTTTCCACCATTTGCCGCAATGACAGCTTGACAACCACGTCTCATGCTCCTCACAAGCCTCATGATGTTGTTCTGAGGAAATGCGTTCCACTCTTCCACAAGTGCTACACGCAGTTCTGCCAGGTCACGTGGGGGTGGAGTACGGTCATCCAGTCTCTGCTTCAGCTGGTCCCAGACCTGCTCTATGGGGTTCAGGTCAGGGGACATTGCTGGCCGTACCATATGAGGCAGTCCGACTTCCTGAAGTCCAGTTGTGACAATTCTGGCAGGATGTGGTGGAGCATTGTCATCCATGAACAGAAGGTTGGGGGTGTGCTGGTGGAACTGGGGGATGATGATGGGTTCTATGATGTCTCTGAGGTGGGAACGTGCAGTGACTGAGCCATCTACAAAATCCAAATCTGTTTTGTGTTGGCTGGTGATGCCTGCCCAGACTGTTGCACTTCCTCCACCAAAGTGAACCCTGGGGACCATGGTAACCTCGGCATATCGCCCACCTGACCACCTTCTCCATCATTTCTGTGCAAGGTGACTTGACACTCATCAGTGAACAGGACGGTAGACCACTGCTGCATTGTCCAGGTCACATGGTCTTGTGCCCACTGCAAACGTTCACAGCGGTGTCTTGGTGTCAGTGGAGTCACCTGCAACGGTTGTCTGGCATTCAAGCCAAAGCGGTGGAGTCGGTTGCGAATGGTTTGTCTGGAAACTGTAACCGCCAGGACATGTGAGAAGTCCCTCGGCAGGTAAACCAGCCGCCAGCAGTTCAACGTCCTGCTGCTCTTTAGCGCTAACGTGTCCAGCGTTACATCATCTCTCATCCACATACATATTGTATATACGATAATATTACAAACACATTACATATTTGTTATGTATAGGTCACTCTCTCAGTGTTTAGGCCCACCTACCAAGACAAAGAGGTAGGCTATCAGGGCACGCCTCCTCATCATCCTCATCCTCTGCATCCTCTGCATCCTGGCTCTTCTCGCCTGGATCCGCCTCCACAGTCGTGCTGCTTGCTCCTCCGCGAGCAAAAACAGCATCCCAGCCATGGCAGCAACCAGCACTCGATCCATTTTTCTAAGTTTTTTACTGTCTTTTCTCACCAGACAAACGTCATCTCACGCCAACAACTACCTTCCACAAATGTCAACCGCCACTGGCCCTTCCGTTACTTTTTTTTCTCAATATTTTTTTTCATGAATTAAATGGATTAAAAAAAACGCGGACAATTTGGTGTTTTACATGGTATTTGTTATGAATTTATTACAAATAAAATAAAGACACGGATAAAAAAAAAAATCACAGCCGAGCTGAAGTGGTGACGGCGGTGCGTTCATCTCAGACGTTCTGCTTCAGACTCTGAAAATATCTAATTGTAAGATCTCATTACAAGAGTAAAATATCTCGTCCTCGCATGGAAATAACACCTAACGACCTGACAATGTCTTACTGAAACGTAAAAATATCTGGTTATAACGTGAAAAATATCATATCGTTAAAGTTTATCAGTAGAACTTCAAAATATCTTGTTAAAAGTATCTCAACACAAAAATATAATTGCGACACTTTCTGAATTCGGATCTTCCAGATTTCCCTGAAGGCACCACTGTAGTCCAAACTCCTTAAATAGCCTCAGTTTACTAAACTGAACGTGAATAAACAGTGAAACCTCCATTATTTTTTGCATTTTCACAAATATAATAAAGGTTTCACAAACCACAAACTGTGTTTTAAAGAACATGTAGCCGCTATCGGTTAATCTAGTCCAGATTTGACCCGTGTAAGTATGGTAGATTTACATTACAAAAACAAAAGAGTGATTTTTTTTCGCATTTTCAAAAATAAAATAGGTCCCATAATTAATAAAAACGTGGACGGGAAAAACAGGGAGAACAACATATTACAAACACGGTTCGACCACAGCTCTTCGTGAAGACAGAGTTATCGCGATACTTTGTCATCTCCCGCGAAGTGCAGTTTTCCTTTGCGTCAGCGTCGTTGAGGGGACGCTGCTTTGCACTAGCGGCTAATCAACGGGGCATTAAGACAAGTTAAGGTAGGTCGGGTGTTTATATCCCTATTTAAAACCACAGGATGCATATTACAGACAGTAAATAGCTTTATATGCAACTTGCACATTAGGAAACCTGAACTCTGATGCACAGTTATATGCTACGTTAGCCAGCCAGTATGAGCACGTAGCAGGAAGCTAGCTGCCAAACAGGCCGGTCCGTTAGCAATTCATGTATGCGAAAGTTAGCCTCAACTGCATAGCTTAACGTAGCTTTTTTAAGGTAGCAATTTATTTAGGTAAACCTAATTACGTGTAATGTTATAAATGTTGGCAGTGCACCCTGTAATTTACAAAGGACTGAATAAAAATAGCGTTTCCTTGAAAAGTTTAAGCTTCTCGCTAATATTAGTGCAGTTAACTTAGCTGCTAGGTCCTCCATTCAACACTTGTGTTACATATTTGCACATAACTGGAGCTTCTTGAAACGCCAGATGATGTCCTAGCGAAAAAACGTAGTGTAGCCGGTTAACCGTCGCGTCTGTGAAAACAAGCTATGTGACATATAGCCGGTGTTTTGGTGCAGCTCTCCTCCTCCGTTCGTTGACTTTTTATTCCTTCACGTCTGTACCAGACTGTAATTGAGTGAGATTCCTACAGAGGCTTATTTTAATCACATCTCTCTTTGATGTTACACTGGCTCCCAGAGTTTCTCTTGCTCAGTGAGAATGTCTCCCTCACACTTTGTGTACTTCAGTTCATATTCTTCCTCCTTCTCTGAGGTGAATTCTGAATCTTTTCTATTTCTACTTTAATTCTGTTCCCTTCCCAAGTAATCACAGCTTACATTTGCTCAGGCGGCTGTTAGGGAGTCACAGTCACTCTTTCATCTGCTCATGATGCTCAGGGCGTCCGCTGGCTTCTGTTTTCTCAGTGGATTCATTGTTTGAAGATTGTCTCTACCTCACTGTGTTTCAGCTGAGATAAGACATTCTCCAGAGGAGAAGAGGAGTTCACCTTCACTTTGACCAAGTTTTCACAAGACATTAACTGAACATTAACTTCCCTGACATCCTTAAAAGTAGACTCTGCTTCATTTTTTTATCTTGACTCCTGATCACTGAGCGTACCGACGCCAGAGAGCAGCTCCACTTCGTGACGTCATGTCTCAGAAGTCACAGTCCGACGGCAGTCAGAAACACTTCGCTGTGGGTCGGGGGCTCCTGGCTGCTGCAGAGACCTTGAACTTCAACATGAATGAGCAGCGTTCCAGTCGGCAGATGGGGGGCATGACCTCAGGTGTGGGGATGGGTGGTGGTGGTGGTGGGGAGGGCAAAGACGGCACCGCCCAGATGTCCCGACATGGCAGTGGCAGCAATCTTGGCAGCACCATGAAGCTTTTTGCCAGTTTAGGGCTGTCGCCCTCTGACCTGGATGCTCTGGCTGAAATCCCTGAAGAGGACATCAGCGTGGAGACACTGCCACAGATCCTCATGCAGCTCAAGAGCCGCAAGGGGGACAAAGGAGAGCGGCGAGCAGCATCCTCCATGTCTTCTGATGCTGTGTATCGAGGAGGACGGGAAGGCTGGGAAGACGGGCATGTAGGGAGGATGGGTGGTCCTTCTCTGGGCCAGGGCTCAGCCCGGGCCCAGCCCTCTGCAGACTTTGGGTACAACTCCCTGCAAGACGTCTCCTCCAGCCGAGGCTACAACTTAAATTACAGCAGCAGCAGTGGTAGTGGTGGGGGTGGGAGCAGAGAGAGGCCGTATTCTGAGCTTTCCCACCAAGATTCCTACAGTGGGATTGGCATGGGGCCGTCGCCGTCTGACTCCGTCTTTATGCAGAGGAGGATGGGCTCCCCGTCCAATGGAAAAATCCAAGACTTCTTGGGAGTCATGCCCCCCATGTTTCCCCATGTGTGCTCTCTTTGTGACTTTGACGTTCATTCCACCATGGTGAGTACGTCCAGCCTCCTCTTTCTTTCCCTCTTGGACTAACTGTAAATGTTTCACACACTTGAGCTCAGCTCAAGTCTTCTGTCAGCGTCAGCCAATCCCAGGTGTAAGTCCTGCTCATGTTTCCAGGGACTGGAAGTCAAGTTTGCATCCTGTAAGTTTCTTGTTGTGAATGACTTACAGCATGTACCGTATCTTCATTTTGTCACACTGATACCTGCAGTTCTCCAGTGTTTTACTTTCAGATTTGGGGCGTTCCTGTTGTCATCCAGCTAAATATCTTTAAAGCAAAAGTCCATTCCTTGTCATTATCTTTACACACTGATAAACCAGCTAATGTTACAGCAAGTTGCCTGTTCTAGCTTCATCTCAGCCTCGGCGTCTGTTGAGCTCCATCAGGGCGGAAAATCCCAGAAGTCTGTGACTTACTTGAGAACTCTGTAGTTTATTAGCTCTCACAAAGTTCAGGGAGTGTCTTCATGTGCTTGTTCTGATCTCCAACATGCAAACTTAAAAGCCCCTCACCTGTTCATGGACTGATGGGAATTGGCTCATTATATAGATGACTAAGTATCAGTAGGAACAATAGGACGGTTGAAGGCAGTCGGACATGTTGAGCTTTTACCAGCCTGAAGCGCATCATTTTCACAATAATGACTTTAACCCTCTGAACTTCAGGTTTCTGGGCGTTTTTTTTTTTTTTTTCTTTCTATCTGTCACATTTTTCCTCCTTGTGAGCTGTGTTATAAAGTCCTGCACCTCCATGGAAACAGCAGCAGCACAGCTATATATATATATTTATATATATACATATATCGAGAGAGAGAGAGAGAGAGAGAGAACTCAGAAATATCTTCTGTGTGATATGACACAAATTATAAACAAAGAAAAAAAAAAGTAAGTTGAATATTTTCAGTTATTTATTTTGAAAAAACAAAACCCTGGAATTGGGTTGAGGTTCAGAGGGTTAACAAGAACATCTAAGAGAGGCTATGAAAGAAAGATTTGAGAATAAAGTTGGAGCCTATTATCATTTTGATAATAATTTTAAGCGCTCTGCCCTGTTTTTTTGTTTTACAGTGAGATGAAATTTCAGATAAAGACATAACAAAGACTCTCACAGCAAAACTTCACATTTGTTTTTGTGCAGTTATCTGTAACTCCTTTTTTTAGTTTTTGACTTTTTTTTATTTTTTATGTCAGACTGAGAATTTGGCTCTTAGATTGTCTTTGAAAGGAAATGTGGGCTAGAAAAGGTTTGAGAGTTTTTTAGATGAGATCACCAAAGGTTAATAACTGGGTAAACAGTGGTTGATTTAGGCTAAAGCAGCTTGTCTAGCATTAGTAATTCTCTGTTGGTATGTGTAGGAGTGGAACCAACACACTAATGGACTACGACATGCTGAAAACAGACGGCAGCTCCTTGACATGTGAGTCACCTTCAGATTCACTCGTGAATACAAAACATTACCAGCAAACGGGGTTTATCTGCCTGGAGCCGACACTGAGCGTCAGAGATCTTCACCTGTCTGACTTGTTCACCGGAGGGACTTCTTGAAACCTGTGGACTGTATTGAGGACGGTCACCGGTCATTTCAGTTTAAAATTGTTCAAAATTACTTGTAATGTGTCAAAAATTACAAAGACAAAATCTCAAATGAATCTGACTCATCCACAGTGATTGAAAACCTAGCCAAAAGACTTGAAACTTGTCGAGAATCACTCAAAAATGGTACAAAATGACATAAAAATGTGTCCACAATGAGGTAAAAATTGTCCCTAAATGACTGAGAATCTGTCCAAACATAAACTTGTTCGCAGTGACTTGAAACTTGTTTAGACTGCCGTAGTTTTCGGACTGTTGAGCGCACCTGAATATAAGCCGCACCCACTAGCTTTAGAAAGAAAAACAGAAATCGTACATATACAGGCCGCACTCGTCTATAAGCTGCAGGTGTCCACGTTGTAACATGAGATATTTACACAGAGAGATGTTTTAACTTTTAATTAAATACGAAGTAGATGCTTTTTTCTGAACAGTGCCTGTAACACGGCTGGTTAAGGACATAAAAACTACAGCAGCCTACCAGGAAAAGTCATTGATCGCTATCTTCATCTTCCTCCTGCGCACTAAAACCACTAAAGTCGTCTTCTTCAGTGTCCTCAGGAGTTGAACAGCCTCAGAATCACTTCGTCACACACTTCCTCAGTCTCTCTGTCGTTGTCGCTCTCAACGTCACTTTGGTCTCGAGGCAGATTCGTGAAAATCCATAAATTAGCTGCATCGTTGTTTAGGCCGCAGCGTTCAAAGCGTGTGAAAAAAGTAACAGCTTATAGTCAATTCGTCCAGAATGACCCAAGATTTGTCAACAGTGAGTTAAAATGTGTCCAGTCTGAATCAAAATTTGTCCAAAATGACATAAGCTTGCCTACTTCAAATTTGATTAGTCAAGATTGATCCCAGATTCATCCAAAATGACATTGACTTGTCCACACTGATTGAAAACTTGTCCAAAATTCCCCAGAATTTGTCTATATTGACTCAAAAACATGTTCAGAATGATGTAGACTTGTCCACAGTGACGAAAAGCGTGTTTAAAGTGACTTGAACATCATCCACAATGAGTTAAAATTTGTCTAGTTGGCCCAAAATTTGTCCAGAATAAGTCAAAAGTTGTCCAAACTGACATAAACCTGCCCATAGTGATTAAAAACTTGTCCAAAGTGACTTACAAATTGTCCAGAACAAGTTATAAATTGTCCAAAATGACTGAGTCAGTCCAAATGACACAAGCTTGCCTGCATGGATTGGAAACTTGTCTAAAATTACCCAAAAATCTGTCAAGAACAGCATAAATCTGTGCACAGTAATTAAAAAATGTGTCCAAAATTGTCCAGAATAAGTTCTAATTTGTCCAAATTGACCCAATGTTTGTCCTGAATAGTAAAGACTTGTTCATTCTGTTAAAAATTTGGCAGAAGTGAAGAGAAATAAATGTCCTAAAACCCAGTAGGTTTAGATGCAGTGAAATTCTGTTGTAAAGGATCTGCTTTTCGAGCCACAGTGCAGTGAGATATGTTTGTCCTGTGTTTCAGGTATCCGACATGGGATCCTGGCATGGCCTCAGGAAGAGGGTAAGACCCACAGACCTCAGTGTTCCACGTTGTTATCGTCTGTCTGTAAACTCCTCTCATCACCAGTCAGCTGCTTCAGGAAAAACACCAGATATTGGGAAGTTTAAAATTCATATTCAGAATTCTCCAGCATGAGATAAATATTTAACAGTGAGGTTTAAAAAAGAAAAGACTCAGAATCAGTCCAAAACGACATAAACTTGTCCACATTGATTGGAAACTTGTTCAGAATTACTCCAAATTTGTCCAGATTGACTTCAAATATGTCCAAAATGACATAAACTTGTCCACATTAAATGGAAGCAGGTCCAAAGTGACTTGAAATTTGTCCAGAATATAGTTAAACTTGTCCAAAATTACCTAAAATTTGTCAAGAATGAGTCAAAAAGGTGTCCAAATTTACCCAAAATGTGTCCACAGTGAGTTTAAAATACTGAGAACTCTGATTCCCCCCCGTTGGTCACAACTGGATAATCAGTTGTAACAGGGAACGAGGACGTTTTTAGTTTTTACAGAATCCTGTTTAGGCAATTTAGCTTATTTGTGGTCGATTATTTTAAAAAGACACGAATAGAACAAACTGTTTGTGATGAAATATCCTGATTTAGTTAATTTTCCTGATGGAGCCGTACAGATGATAGGTTCAAGGACTGTTTGACAATTGAAAATCTGAAGATAAATATTTTTCTTGTGAATATGATGGATAGTTTAGATTTTTAATTCATTACACTACACTGTCCTGCCTGTCGGAGGTCTTATTCTACTGATGCCAGCTTAGACCTACGGAGAACCGTGCGGAACGCTCTAACTGAGGAGCTTGCAGTGACGGCTGGCTGCTAGCTGCAGCACAGAGGTGACTTCGTGTTGCTAACTGGCTCTTTGCTGGTTCCTCTGTTGCAGCGGTGGTCTTCTGGAGACCCCCAACCTGTCTGCAGGACTGCTGGGACCGACCCCCTCTTCTTCAGGACAGGCGGGAGGAATGTCCTCCAGCTGGGGTAAGAAACGCATCACGTTCTCCTCACCTCTTGTGCAGAGAAGGAAGGTCAGAAACATTTAATTTATCTGTTCAGAATTGTGAAAGGAGTCAAAAGCAATTGAATCTGAGAAAGTCTCACCTACACTTTGACCAGTTGATTTGTGTCCCAGTGGTTGTTGTGTGTCTCTTTGCGGTTGCCTTTTGTCTCTTTGTAACTGTCTGCCTTCTGTGTTTTTTTTTTTTGCGTCTGTTTGTGGCTGCTTTACATCATTTTGCATTTGTGTATGCTCTGTGGCTGTTTTTTTTGTGTCTTTCTGTTTCTCTTGGTGGTTTTTATGTGTCTCTTTGTAGCTGTTCTTGGTCTATTTGCCGTTTTCTGTGGTTGTTTTGCGGGGGTTTTTTGTATCAGTTTGTGGCTGTTCTTTGTCTGTTTATTGTTTTGCGTTGCTTTGTGGCTGTTTTGTGCTTCTTGTAGTCATTTTGCATGTCTTCCTGTTCATGTGTGTGTTTTTGCAGCTGGCTTGCATTGCTTTGTAGTTGTTTAGGCTCTCTGTTGCGGTTTTGTATCTCTTTGAGGTTGTTTTTTCTCAATGCCTGTTTTAAGTGTACTTGTTGTTCAGTGTCTACCTGTGGTCATTTTGTGTCTCTTTTTGTTTTCATATTGTCTGTTTGTGGTTGTTTTGCTTTATGCAATTCTGTCAAACTTTCTGACTCTTGGTGTGCTTTTTAAGTGATTTTGTGATCATTTTGAAAAAACTGCAGTGTTAATAAAGTTTTCCATGTCCTTACATTCATTGTGTTTGTGTGTCAGGAGGAAGCGGAGGTCCTGGACTGTTGGGGAAGAACCAGCCGGGACAGAATAAAGTTGGTTTGAACTCCACCATCAGCAACATTCACCCAGCTGATCGATCGCTCCACAGAGTGATCACATGAGAAATGCATTAGTGCTTCTGTCATCTTTAGGGTTTAACTCCTTACTATTAAACAGAGCTGCGGTTTAAACACGTGCTGCAGGACTCTGACCTGATGCTAATGTTGTGGTTCCAGCTGAGGAGCCGGGTCGTGGTGGTGAAATACGACAGAAGGCCTCTCAGCAACAAGACTCTGTTCGCCTTCACAGAACCGTTTGGCTGCCTGAGGGAGCATCTGGTCCTCAAGAACAAGGTAACGTCTCAACATCACATTCGCACTGCTGCCAGGATTATGTTTTGTTCTGTAAAAACGAGGAACAGAAAATATTCTGGCAGTGTCACTGGATGAACTATTAATTATTTTAGTATCCATCCACAACAGGAGGAACTCTGCGTTAAGAGCAGCTCTTTTAGTTTTGAGTTAGTTTTCAAAACCACACAACTGACTTGTTAAGATAGAAATCAGAGAGCTGTACTACGAAGCAAATTTGCCATATCCAGGCTTTCTTTGTGTAAGTCGGCTCGACAAAACCAGGTGTCATTCATTACAGGCATGTGTATCAGGTCAGGACGCACAAAAGTCAATCAGCGCCAAGCCCTAAACCCAAGAGGAAGACCGCCATTTTGAAAAAAACAGTGAGAATTTTGGTGATTTTTCGCTTGTTTTCGGCCATTTTCAAAATGTATCTCCTCATAGGGGGAAGGTCGTACACACCTGACATTTGGCAAGCACAATCTACAGGATGTGGTGATTAAAAGTTCTAATAACGCTCTGCAAAAGTCTGACGGTGTCAAAATGGTGGCCTTCTGAATTGTGATCATTCGCCGTCAAAGACGAAGTGTGTCTGATGACCCTGTACATCTCCAATCTGCCTCAAACTTGTCAAACAGTCTTTTAAAGATTGAAATCTGGTGTTTAATGCACAGATTAATGAGAAATAATATTATGTTTTTTTTAATATATTTTGGAGTTAACTGTCACAGACGCAAAACAATCAGACTTTTAAAGACGAGGATGTGGTGTTTAAATTGGAGGTTAAAGAGAAATTACAGCAGAAACACTAGATATTTAAAGTTAGTTTTCAAAAGCACACAAAAACATTTAAAGATGGAAATCCAATGTTTCATTCTGATTAAACTGACATTACACTAGAAGCTAAGTTAGCATCCATAGATTAAAACATACCTTAAAGATAAAAATCTGGAGTTTCATGCACTAAAAAAAGGTAAATTGCTGTAAAAAAAAAGAAAAAAAGAATAAATTGCTGTAAAAAAAAAGAAAAAAAGAACTCTGATTAGTTAGTTTCCAAACACACAAACTTTAAAAGATGGAAGTCTTGTCTAAAAGTTGCAGGTCAATGACAAATAACGTTAAAACCTGCGTTATGGGGCACCCCTATAGCTCACCTGGTTGAGCGGGTGACCCATGAACAGGGGCTACAATCCCCAACGCAGCGGTTGTGAGTTCAAATCCCGCTCATGACCCTTTGCTGCAGGTCTCTCCCCATTCTTCTCTCCCCTTTCCTGTCTCTCTCTACTGCTCTGAATAAAACCTGCGTTATTTTGAAGTTAGTTTCCAGAGGAACTGACTTGACGATGAAAATCTGATGCTTGTAGGCTAACAGGAAATCATAGGAGAAACTTCATTGTTTTTCTAGAAAGATAAAATGGGAGTCTGTAGGCACCCAAAGAAAGACATTTCAGGATGGAAATCTGGTGTTTGCACAGATTAAAAGGAAATTACACACAGACGTTGTGTCAGTTTCCAAAAAACCCCAAAAAGATTTGGAGTGTCGTGCACTGAATAAAGGCAGATTAAACCAGAAAACGTTCTTTTTTTAAGTTAGTTTTTGTAAAACACAAACTGCCTTTAAAGATGAATAAATCTGAGGTGTAATTTGTCATCGGTTCTCACATGGAAAACTTCACTGTTTTACCTGAAAGGTATAGTTTGTGTCCATGAGCACAAAAAACAGACATTTTAGGATTGAAATCTGGTGTTTTTTTTAACCTGGTTCGTCTCCTCTGCAGTCGGCTGCTTCATGTGAACACTTCAGTCAATAACATAAAGACAGCTGTTTATTTATCCCACAGTTTCCCACCATCATCGCGCTGGTGTTTCCAATATGTTGTCGACACGTCCAAGAAAAATGACCAGCATTACTGCTTTAAGAACACAATGTCATAAAGATGTTTTCTGTGAGACAAAGGCCTGGAAGTGTTGAAATGAAGTGATAAAAGCTCTGGATGGTTGAGGCTGTTCTGAAGATGACAGAAATAAAAGTGTCTCTGCTCTCTGCCTCCATCAGGCCTTTATGGAGATGAACTCACACGAAGAAGCCCTGGACATGGTGAACTACTACGAGCAGCATCCGGCGGCGCTGTATGGAAAACCCATCACCTTCTACCTGTCGCAGAGGCTGCTGGTCATCGAGGTGATGCCATTTCCAGACGAGCTGCTGGAGGTGCGACCAAACGAACCTCCGTCAATCTGTTTTTGTCTTTGATTGTCAGAAGGAGGATCGAGCATCGGACAAGCTGATCGACAGACCGGTCAGAGACATCAAAGGTCACGGCAGCAAAGTGGTTTTCTTCTCCAATCTGCCCAGACAGGACGAGAAGAAGAGGGAGCTGCTGACCATCGCTGGGCGCTTCGGCATTGTAGAGAAACACCTGTTTTTAACCGACCAGGTGAGCTGAGAATGGTTAGAAATGACATTTGGTAAAAATTTTGTTCAACTCAGACAGTAATCCAGATGATTTCCTTTTAGCCCTCAGGACTCTGAGCAGTTTCTGGGTGTTTTGTTTCACTTTTGGGCTCATTTTTCCTCAATGTGGGCTCATTTTTCTTAATATGGGCTAATTTTTGCTCACTGTGGGCTCATTTTCTGCTATTTTGGCCTCTTTTTCCTCACTGGGGGCTCATTTTTCCCTTACTGTGGGCTAGTTTTTCTCACTTTGGCCTCATTTTTCCTCAATTTGGCCCAATTTTTCTTCACCGTGGGCTTATTTTTCCTAGCTAGGGGCTAATTTTTCTTCACTATAGCCAAATTTTTCCTAGCTGGGGGCAAATTTTTCTCAATATGGTCTCTCTTCGTCTCACTGTGGGCTGTTTTTTCCTCACTGGGGGCTCATTTTTTGTCAATATGACATCATTTTTCCTAACTGTGGGCTAATTTTTCATAGCTGTGGACTGTCTTCTGTGCACTTTGACATAGTTAGAATGACACTAATCAGAAAAAACAAACATTTCTTTGGTAATTTATAGCAGAAAGAAGCATTTTAATTTAACTATACATATTTTTTTCACAGGTGACATGGTGTCATCCTAACCGGTGGGTTGTTGTGTTTCCATAGGGGTGCAGGACTTTATATCGCAGTGAAAAATGAGCCACAGCTCTGAGTTTTGAGGGTTAAAATGTGCAAAAATAAGAGTTAAGGTTAGGCTAATTTAGTTCATTGCCAGCTGTAGTTAAAGTGTTGTTTATGGGGAGTAGCTCTGATTTAATTTCTGACAGAGTTATGAGCACCTTTAGGTCCTCTCAGGGGTTAAAAACAGAGACGTTGGTGCTACAAGGTCTTAAACTGTTGTGTGTTCAGGCATTTGTCCAGCTGGGAACCGTGGAGGACGCCGAGATGCTGGTGAAGTATTACAGCGTGAATCCTCTCACCATCAAAGGAAGGCCAATCCGCCTCAACATCTGTGCCAAATACAAAACCCTGAAGTGAGTCCAGACACCATATCCTGTTTCACAAACTGCACATCCTCGATTCCTTTCCTTGACTCCTCATGTCTTAATCCCTCCCACCAGAGATTTTAGCCATGTGATAAATACACGTGAGCGAAAAATAAAACATGCTGGATTGATAAAGTAAATGGTTCAGAAACAATATACAGAGGAGCCAGTTGTTGAAGATACATCCAGCATGCTGGAACGTCTTTCTACGGCTGATGTGTGGAGCAGAGTAGAGAGAAAGAGTCTGTAGATGCTGGAAACGTGTGAATATTTATTTTCAAAGTGATTTAAAGTTTATCTGAAGTGACGCACACTTGTCTAAACTGTCTCAAAAATATTAAACTAAATGCAGCAGCTGTAAAGATGTAAATGCGTTCCTAGACAGAATGACTAAAATGTGTTCAAAATGACATAAATTCATCCAAGTGACTCAAAACAAAATCCAAAATGACATAATCTTGTCCAAAAGGTTAAAAAAAAAAGTGTTAGTTGATTCAAAATTCATTTAAAACAACATAAAAAGCCCCTAAATCATTCTATTGCTCTCTTAAATACAGTGAAAATAGTGTAATATCAACTTTAAAGTCTCAATTTTGCAATTTTTTTTTCCCACTCTAGCAAACCTCCTTGATTCTTGATATTCCTGATGTTCAGTGTTTTAGGAATTGAGACGTCCTTTGCTTGATGCATGAAGATTGATTTCTGAGTGTTGAGGAGGAAGATGAGCCTCTGCATTCACCTGGTTGCCGTGACAGCAACACCATTGGTTCTGACTTTCTGCTTTCTTCAGTGTGAACCGCAGACTGGGAGGAGACGCTCAGAGCCGGAGGAGACCAAGCACCTCCTCCTCCACCTCCAGGACCTCCTCATCCAAGTCCAGCTCCAGGACCAGAGATGAGAAGAAGAAGAAGGAGGAAGAGGACGACGGCAAGGTGAAGCCTGAGGAGAAACCGGCAGCGGTGAAGGAGGCGGTGGAGGAGGACGAGGAAGAGGAGGAGGAAGAGGAGGAGGTGTCCGGAGTCCTGCAGGGAGGAGAGGAAGGAGGGGAGGAGGAGGAGGTGGTAACCGATGGAGATGCTGACGGGGAGGAGCCAGAGGGGGCGGAGTCTGTGAAGGAGACTGTGGAGGAGTCATCGGACATTAAAGAGGACGACAAAGAGGTGAGGATTTTAGACAGGAAAAAAACCTGAGCATCAAAAACACTTTGTTCCTTATGTGTTGTGTCTTCCCTCCTGGTTCTGACTGATTCTGCATGACTGACACGGCCGTGTTTTCATGCTGAACTGCAGGCAGTGTTTCCACAGTGCAGAGAGGAGACGACAAGAGAGACTGAGAGGAAACTAGAACATGCTGGATCAATAAAACAAATGCAGCACGGCTCAGAACCAGAGAACAGAGGAGCAGGTTGCTGGAGATACATTCATAATGGTGGAACATCTTTCTAAAAGTTTGTTGAGCCTGGAAATAAATATCTAAAGTTTATCTTAAATACACGAGGCACTGAATGACAGAATGAAATAAAAAATTATAAAAACAAAAATAAATGGCTGTGAAGAGACACAAACCACAGACAGATGAGAAAAATCTGACAGAAAATGACCCAAATCTGTGCCAAAAAAAGGGATATGAAATGACACAAAACCAGAAAAACGAGCCACAAAATGATCATAATAAGACAAAAAATGACTAAAAGGAGACAAAACTGTCCCAAAGAGACACAAAATGAAAGATATGAGACATAAAACAACAGCCACAAAACAGACAAGTCAAGAAAAATGAAACACAAAATGATCACAATAAGACACAAAACGACAGAAAGGAGCAATAACTGTTCCAAGGAGACACAAAATGAGAAAAACGAGACAAAACATCAAAAACAACATGAAGAAGACCAAAAAGAACGACTACCAAGAGACATGAAGCAGCAAAAACAAGACACGGTGAGAAAAATGCCGATTTCGTAACCTCAACGTTGTTAAAATGTTCACAGGTTCCCGACGCCAGCGACATCACTGCTGACACACCTGGAGATGTGTGTGAGGCTGAAGCCCAGCAGGGGGCGGAGCCTGAGATCCAGACCGAGCAGACGGAAACCGAAACCTCAACCGACGAACACAAAGACGAAGCTGCCGTGGACGCCGCAGAGAGCTCGGAGGCGGTGGAGGGAGATCTGCCCGAACACATGGTAGGAACCGTCAGAACCAATTCAGGGTAAATGGAGCCAACAGAGATGTTGATGAGCTGCTGCTGCTGCTTCAGTTTGAACAGGACTTCCTGGAGAACATGGAAGACTTTGTGACGCTGGACGAGCTGGGAGATGACGAGGACGAAGCCGGAGGGTCGGACGCCATCGGTACCCAAACACTGAAACCTTACTGTAGTTTAATCAGACGTTAAATGGCCTTTCTGGCTGACGTCCTCCTGCTGTCATGACATTTTAAAACCTAATGTTTGTGTTTCTTCTTCTCTGCAGACAACACCAGGCGAGGGGTGAGTGTCTGCCTCTTACATCCTTCATATCGTTGCTTTATATATGTATTGTACATTTGTTAAATGTTCAAAAGCAGTAGTTAAATGTGTGAAAAATATTGAATAAATGTCCCAAAAATATTAATGAAACGTGTGGAAAAACATTGAATAAATGCAAAAGATATCTCATAAATAAAAATAAAGACAAAAATAAATAAAATATCAAAGGCTATCTAATAACTGCCTTAAAAGTTTCAATTTAAGGATCTGAAAGCTTAATCAGATTCATAAGATCCTAAGTTTTACTGCTTCGTGTAAAACAAAAGGCAGGAAGATAGAAGAATGAGAACAGCGTCACCTTTAAATATCAAAACGAAAGCCATCGTCCCTGAGAGCTGCCTCTGACTGAAGCCTCTGTGTTGTTGTTGTTGTTTATGTCAGGGCATGAGGGTGGTCAACATTGTCGGCTTCAGGAGGGGTCACAACTTCCTCAACGAGCTGCTCGGACTTGCCAAACCTTTCGGGAAAGTGGTCAAACATCTGGTGCTGGACCTGCGACCGGAGGTACCATTTTGTGTCTATCATGTTTTGTGTTATTTTTTTGTCTCCTTGTGGTTGGTCTGTGCCTTGTTTTTGTTGTCTTCTTTTATTGTTTTGTTTGTCTTTGAAGCAGTGTGGTCTCCTTCGTTTCATTTTGTGTGTCGTTATTGACGGTTTTATTCTCGATTTGGTCTCGTATGTCCATTAGTCGTCTCCCTTCTGTCATTCTTGTGCCTCTTTTTTCACTTGTGAATCCCGCTGATGCTCAAAAGCAGCTCAAAGAATTCAGTTTTTCTGTCTCCTTCCTTCTCGTCAGGCGTTCCTGCAGTTCGATACGGAGGAAGAAGCTCGAGCGATGAACAGGTTCTACAACAGCAACGTGGTGGCGTCTGTGTGCGGTCGCCCGGTGAGGGTCAGCCACTCCATGAGCTACCCCACCATCCAGGTGAGTGTCCTCCAGGTGTGGAGTCACGACACCAGCTGCTCTCATCACTCTGAAGCCGAGTTCAATCAGTGTCTGGTGCAGGAAGTGTGTGGCTGCACTGGCTCAGATTTAGTTAAGAATTTGTTATTTGAGGTCCAAACTAAGTTCCATAAAAGATTTTGGTTTGTCGACTGTTTAAAATGTTCGGTGTCTTTGTGTTTGCGGTCCAGTGCGGCTCCAGCAGGGTCGTGTATGTCGGTCAGCTCCCCAGCAGCAAGTACGCAGACGAGGACATCCTGAAGCTGGCCGAGCCGTACGGGGTCGTCCGCAAGTACTTCCTGAACCGGATCCGGAGAGAGGTACCGAGCACCGCAGCCGCTTTTAGCTTCAAACCGTCTGCTGCCGCCGCCGCCTAACGCAGTGTCAATGTCCGTCCTCAGTGCTTCATCGAGATGGAACGAGCCGAAGATGCCGAGAAGATGGCAGAGAGCTACAAAGTGAAGCCGCCGAGGTTGGAGGGCAAACGCCTGACCGTCTACGTCAGCAGGAAGTACAGGCAGCTCAAACATGGGTGGGCATCTGCTACCAGACCACTTTAAACGTCAGCTTTAACCTTGTTTGGGTTCATATGACCAATGGAAGAACATGATATGTTCAAGGACTGTGGGAAAGTAGAGAATTAGTTGATTGTTACTGTGTCGTTTTGTTGTTGTAGATGCAGAAATACTTTTTTTTTATAAACTTCATGTACTTGAAGTTTGTTTTAAAGGTAAATGGTCTCAGATTGGGACTAAAGATATGTGTGTGTGTGTATATATATATGCATGTATATGTATATATATG